CCGGTGAAGTTCGTCCCGCAGTCCGAGTAGACGACAGAACAGAGGCCTCGGCGTGACGTGAACCTCCGAAAGGCAGCCAGGAACGCCTCGGAGGTGTAGTCGGAGACGAGCTCCAGGTGCACTGCCTTCGTACAAAAGCACACGAAGACGGCGATGAACGCCTTGAATGCGCGCTGTCCCCGGCCCTTGCTGGTCCTGACGAAGACGGGACCGGCGTAGTCGACTCCCGTCCGCAGGAACGGGCGTGCGGGGGTCACTCGGTCCCGCGGAAGATTGCCCATGGGGGGCTGAATGGCGGCTCCGCGCCAGCGGACGCAGGTGACGCACTGCCGCAGCCGTCGCTTGACCACGGCTCTGCCCCGTGGCAACCAGTATTGCAGGCGGAGCAGCCCGAGGGTCAATTGGACTCCGCCGTGCAGAGTGCGCCGGTGGTAGGCGTCGACCAGCAGGAGCGCTAGCCGTGACGCGGGTGGCACCACGATGGGGTGCCGCTCGTCGCGCGGCAGACTCGCGTGCTTGAGCCTGCCGCCGACTCTGAGGATGTTGGCCTCGTCGACGAACACCCCGAGGGTGAGGAGTGGGCTGGTGGACGTCATTGGGCGCCCTCCCTTTGCGGCTGCAACTTCGGCGGGGTAATGGGCTCCTTGCGTGGTGCGGATCCAGTGACGCGACGCTCGGTCCAGCTCGTCCGGTTCGAGAGGGCCGCGACGAGGGTATCGCCAACGCATCATCCACGCGGTGACTCGGAGGAGCGACGTCCAGGATGAGAAGCGGAGGAGTGTTTCCGGCTCGGAAACGGTGCGTGCGGTGGCAACGGCTACGGTCCTGCTCTCGGGGATGCTCCGGTCGGGCCCGTCACGGATTTTCCGAGCCGGCCAGGCGTCGCAGGGGCGGCTCAACCAAGGGGGGCCGGACCACCAGAGCGGATGAGAGGCCAGCTCGGTCGGCGAGACCCCCCGGGAGGCGCAGTCTGCGGGATTTTCTCGCCCAGGGACGTGCATCCACCGAGCCTCCGGGAGTCGCTCTTGGATGTGGGCCACCCTGTTGGCCACGAAGGTTTTCCACCGTGAAGCGTGCCCGTGAATCCAGTCCAGCGTGACGGTGGAGTCTGACCATAGGACGAGTGGAGCTGAAACGAGATTCAGAGCCTCGCGCACATGGTGCGCGAGATTGGTCAGGAGAGTTGCGGCGGCGAGTTCCAACCGGGGCAGCGAGACCGGCCGCACCGGAGCGACCTTGCTTTTTGCGGTGAGTAAGTGCATAGATATGCGGTCGTGTCGCGAGATGCGGAGGTACACCACCGCGGCGTAGGCTCGTTCGGACGCGTCGGCGAAGCCGTGCAGCTCGACGGCGGCGCCCGGGCGGTCGACCTCCAGCCATCGTGCGACTCGAATGTCCTCGAGACTCGGAAGGTCCTCGACGAACGCGCGCCATAGTCGAGCGTCGGGTGCGGGTAGCGGGTCGTCCCAGCCCAGCCCCTGCAGCCAGGCGGACTGAATATAGATTTTTGCCCGGATGACGGCGGGTGTTAGCCATCCCAGCGGGTCGAACAGTCGGGCAGTCTCCGCCAGGACTGTTCGCTTGGTGAATGTGGGCACTGTGCGCGGGTGAAGTGAGACGGAGAAGGTGTCGTCAGTGGGGTACCACAGCAGGCCCAGGGTGCTGTGGCTGTCCTCCTCCCAACCTCGCGCGGGGGTTAGGAGCCGGTGCTCCTGCGGGATCCCAGCGAGGACGGCCTCGCAGTTCGTGGCCCACTTCCTCAGCGGGAACCCGCCCGCCGTGCACAGTCCCTCGAGCTCGAGGGCCATGCGGTTGGCTAGCTCTGCGGTGTCGGCGCCGGTGACGATGTCGTCCACGTACGTGTCGCGTCTCAAGGCGACGGCGCCCAGTGGGAATTGCGGTCCCTCGTCCTCGGCCAACTGACGGAGCGTCCTGATGGCGAGGAATGGTGCACACGCCAGGCCGTACGTCACCGTGTTGAGGCGGTACTCCTGCACCGCCTCGTCGGGCGTCGGGCGCCAGAGGATGCGCTGCCAATCCCGGTCGTCAGGGTGGATCAGGATCTGGCGGTACATCTTCTCAATGTCTGCCATAAAGACGTAGTGATGCCGGCGCCAGCGCAGCAGAACATCAGACAGTGCGGGCAGGAGGTTTGCTCCGATGTGCAGGCTGCCGTTGAGGGACTCCCCGGATGCGGTCCGCTGAGAGCCGTTGAAGACGACCCTCAGTTTCGTCGTCGCGCTTGCCTCCTTGAGTACCCCGTGGTGAGGAAGATAGCATCTCCCCGGGGATTGCGTGGATGGAGCTCTCACCACCTCCATATGCTGCAGTTCGGCGAATTCCCGCATGAACTCTCTGTAGAGAGATCCAAAGCGGGAGTCGTTCCGGCCCTTGCGTTCCATGGCCGTTAACAGCCGTTCAGCGGGTAACCTCGTGCCGGCAAGTGAGCGCGGTTTCGTTGTGAAAGGCAGTCGGACCATGTATCTGCCCGACGTTGTGCGCGAGTGAGATTCAGCGAAGAACGCTTCGCTCATCTGTTCCTCCGTCGTGAGTGGCACCTTGCTGACTGGCTCCTGCTCCTGGAGCCAAAAACGCTGCACCAGATCGCTCAGCTCACGGTCGACGGAGCACTGGTTCACCAGGCGGTGCTTGACGGCGGTTGGCTGGTCGCTGCCTCCGGACAGGATCCAGCCTAGCTTCGTCTTCTGGGCGAGTGGCGAGTGGGGGTCTCCCTTGCGGAGCCCACTCTCGAAGATGGTCGCACACACCTCGGCACCGAGTAGAATCTCGACCGGATCTCTGGAGGCGAACTGCGGATCGGCTAGCGGGAGCTCGCGGATGTGAGGCCAGTCAACCTCGTGGCTGACGGCGGGTCCCTGATACAGGGTGAGTCGCGGCAGGACGTACGCTTCGACGACCAAATTGACGCCGGTAGTCTGGGCGGTGAGCCGAAGGGACACCTTGCCTCGCGCCGTCCCGGACTTGGATTCTCCGATCCCGAGGATCGACAACGAGGTACGCGAGCGCGGGAGGCGGAGTCTTTGCGCGAGTGCCTCAGAGACGATCGACACTTCCGATCCCTGATCGATTAATACTCGCACCGCGTGCGGAAGACCGTTGCGGTCGGCCGCGAGCACACGTGCCGTCGCCAGGAGGATCGACCCGCCAGATTCGCCCCCACGCGCGGAAGTCAGGGAACTCGCTTCAACGGGCTTGCTGGACACGCTCGCGTCGTGTAAGAGCGTGTGGTGTCGCGCTCCGCAGGAGAAGCAGTTGCGCGAGGACTGACACTTGGCAACCGCGTGACGCCCGAGGCAGTTCCAGCAGAGTCGCTCGGACGTGACGAACTCCTTGCGCTCAGTGGCGGACTTGGCCTTCAAATCCGGACACTGCCAAAGGGAGTGCTTGCCCTTGCACAGATCGCAGGCTCGAGGTTCCGTCTCGCGTTTGGTGTGATGACTTTTGGCGGTGCGCGGCGCGTCTGGCGAGGCTTTCACGGCGGATCGCGGTTTGGCGGCGTTCAAGGTGAGTATGCGCTTGGTCATGAACTCGACTAACGTCTCATACTCCACAGGTTCGCTCGAATCATTGGAGGACTCCCACTCTAGCCTAGTGCGCGGATCGAAAAGCTCGACGACCAGGTAGTTTAGGAGGTCCATCCCATGAGCTTGAATAGGCCGGTCGATGCTCTCCTGAGCGTTCACGGCAGCGGTTACGGCGGCAAGTATGCGGTTCAGTTCTTCCGCGCTTTCACCCTTCATTTTCCCCACGGAGGTGAAGTTCGCGAAATTGCACCGAATGAG